TGCTGTGAGTTCAATGCCAGCCTGAACTATGGCGAGAATATGTCTCAAAAAAACAAAAAGAAAAGAAAAAAGAAGCTCTGTGAGGAGGTGCATCTAGTCTGATGCCTGAGCCACAGGAATGATCACTGACAACAGCCAGAGGAGGAACTGCATCCCCTCCGGGTAGACAGCGGAGTGGCGCGGGGCTGTCAGTCTCCCACTCACACTGGTGCTCTCCCTTGCCGCAGGGTGGTTATGCTCAGGGCCACAGCGGCAGTCCTCCTGCTGCCTGCCCTGTCCCCCCGGAAGTCGGCGGCGGGGGATGCGCAGAGGTCTGGACGAAGAGCCTGCCACTTTATGTGCAAAGCAAAGTCAGCTCAAGGTAGAATGACTAGCCTTGGAGATGAAGGGTTTGGGGTACTCCTGCTGAGAGCCCACACGGACTCTGAGTATCGGAATGTAAACTGAGAGGACATCACTCCAGAGAACCAACTGGAGGGTTTTTTGGGTTTTTTTTGTTTTTTGGATTTTCACAAAGGAGTAACCAGAAGACTCTCCCCACATGTGTCCCTGGAGACTCCACCTGAGGACCGGTCAGGTCTGAGCTCACCCGAGGACCGTGTGGCGTAACAGTGCGGGATGCTTGACGCCAGCTGCCGCGGTATGTGACACTGGAAACACCAGCAACGCCGGGCGGCAAAAGCAGACCTTCAGCTCCACGGCACTCAACAGGGCACTCCTGGCACTTGCGAAGGGCGCTTCTCCTTTGTGCAGGATCCTGTGGAACTTTCTAGGATACGTGCATCTCAAGGGCCGGTGCAAATGCTGGTGGAATCTGCCAATCCTCTGAACAGTAGCTGCCCCCTAGTGGTGGGCAGTGCCACTGCACGTTACAAACGACGGAAAACTATCCAACCATTACAAAGGATGTTTGGAATTCGAATGTTCAAATACATGATGTGGAAATAATAAGTCACAGTAAGTACAGTGCACCACCACATGTCCAAACCAAAACAACACAGACACGCACTCCTCTATACAGAGATACTTAAACATAGCCATAACGAGGTTGAAAAACAATGTTCCTTGACTGGTGGGAATCAGTGGTTTTTATTTGCTTTTTGAGATATCTCATATTTGGGGTTTTTTCTTTTTTAAGAAACATAAAAGAGGCAAAGGCCTTTTCTGAGCTGGGTGTGGCAGTGCCTGTGAGGAGGGTTGAATGCGCAGGCCCCACCTGGGCTCATACAACCAGCATCTTGGCTTCTTACGAGACCTTGTCTCAAAATGGAAACGCAAACAGGGCTGGGATATGCAGCTGAGTGTGAAGGCCCTGGGTTCAGCCGCCAGCACTGGGGAAAGTATGTCTGCTTCGGAGAACGAACACACGCACACCAGGCTCCCCTGGCCCTGCAGGCCTCGCTTCCACTTGGTGAAAGCAGCAGGGTCACCTGTGGGCGCCGCGCCTGCTCCAGCACTCACCCTGCTCAGCGCTGGGCTGAGCTGCACAGCAGCACTCGTGATGTGGGAGCTCCGTAAGTGTGTGCCACACACAGCCATTCTCCATCTCCACTGGGCCAGAACATCGCTGAGATGCCCTCAAGCTTCTAGCATCACTTTCACCACTGGTTCTCTATTGCCCAGAACACCTGAAATATCACGGGTGTCACACCTGGGAGATGCTGCTAGCATCTAGTGGGTAGCGTCAGGGATGCTGCAGAACACTGCACACTGTGCGGGGAACCCACTCCAGCGAATCACTCAGCCAGGAGTATCCACCATACGTACTGAAGAACAGAAACCCTGCTCGCCATTTGCCTTCTTACAGTCTTTTTTTTTTTTGGTACCGGGGATGGAACTTGGGACCTTGGACTTGTGAGGCAGGCGGCGGAACTGCTGAGCTAAATCCTGGGCTCTGCCTTCTTAGTTTTGTTAAGGATTTTTGCACATCCTTCCTGAAGTATTATCGACTGTAAATTTGTCAGCGTGGCCCCTCTAAGACATGGGGTACACACTATAGACCAAGTTGAAGGGAAATTGGAACTTTAAAAACAGACTCTTGGTCCTACTACCCCCAGGCTCTCTGGATGACACTGAAGCCCTTATCTGGAGTAAGCAGAGACAAAGGGTCTGGGCACAGTTTTGATTAGTTTTTGGTCCTGTCATTTAAAATCATATGACAAACGCCTTTGCTTCTCAGCATCATCTGTTATACTTCTCATTTTCACACTATTTTAAGAACATTGGCTTTTGCAGCTAGTGAATTTTTATGAAATTAAATGCTCGTATTCAAGAACACTTTCCTAAATGGGAGATGACTTTCATTTGTATTATATTAAATTGAAGGAATTTCTCAGAAGAAATCGAATAATAAAGAATATCACCTGAAGGTGTGTGTATTAGCAACCCCGTGCCCAGGGAGGGAGATGGGAGGCTTCACATCAACATGCAAGCACATTACTCTCACCCTTAACTGGTCATTAATATTTTGCCTCCAGCACAGTGCATTTTTATGTGCACTATAATTTTTCTTGATAGAAAAATAGCTTTTCTCAAATCATTGACGACTAACACATTAAACATTAGAATTTTTATTAGGGAAAGGGATTTAGGGCCTAAGTTTTTCTACCTGAGAATGAACTAGGTAGCTTTTAAAAAACCTTTAAATCAATAAATAGCTCTGTAAATAATAGACTTTAAAAGATCTCATAATTTAAAAATTTAGGCCCATTTCTTTCATACAATATGACCACTTCAGACACATTTAATATCGACTCACATTGCAGTGGGCAAATATAGAACCCTTCCAATAGCTTGAAAAGCTGTTCTCTCTCTGGAGAGTAATTTCCCTTTCTAATCATCTGCGTCATATAGGTTTGAGTAAGCACAGAGAACACAGAAAGTCTTCCCAGGAACAACAGAATCATAATAGATGGGATACCTTCTCATCTGGCATAATTCTAGCCTTTTGTTTAATAGCGTTAATCATTTCCTTTCACAACAAATCAAAGAAATTTCAGTTTTATGCTTCCCAAAGACATTCATTTTGGATGAGTCAAGTGGCCTCTAAAAATATCATAGATTCTCAGTTGGAACTGGTGGATTTAATCAAGATCCCAGCCTTTGCAACTGCCTATTCTTAGGGTCAAGGTGAATAGAAAGTTTTCTCTGGATCTGAGTATCTCTGAGTGATGTTTCATGGTTTGAGAGAAGAATCTACTGAGACAGGAAATTGAAAATAGCTTCCCTTTGGAAAATTCAGCACACAATTTAGCAGGAAGCCATGTTGTTCAAGTGAACAAAAGAAATATTGGGTCCTGCAGAAGGTGCTGGAGGTAAGGGAGCAGCTCACAGCCTGTCTGGGTGTGGGGTTCACACTGGCAGCAGGGGCAGCATCGGAGATGACCAGCCAGCTGCCACCTCACCTGAGCTTCTAGACAAACACGCAAATGCTGTCATTGTCTTAAACTACTTCTCTACTAAGACAATCTTTACAGGAGCAGAGGAAATGTAAGCTACAACCTCAACCCACGGACTGCACACAGAAAAGCACTCACTCCTCCCTGCAGATATCCCGACTCAGAACAGTCTCAGTTCTCAGGGAGACAGCTTCTGTGGCTGTTTCTAGCTGGAGCTATGTTCTTCACATTAGGAACCAGAACAGAAGCCACAAAACTGAAGCACATGTTGGGTTCAGGAAAATAAAACAAAAAAAATAAACAGACTTATTGGACCTTGGAATGATTTGGTTAAGTAAGATGCAATTCTGAGTAAAAAGCATGGCCAGTGCTCATCTCCAGCCAATTACACCGCTGCAGGAGCGAGAAGAGCCGCGAAGGTGAACCTACGGCAGGTGTGCCGCCGTAGACTGCTTGTTATCATTGAAAGCTCTAAAAGGTCCGCCATCATTACTCTAGACCCTCAAAATTTTAAGACAGAATATAAACCTGTACATGAAAATCCTTACTCTCAAGTGCTAGTAACTGATTAAGTTTTTGAACAAAACCTTGGTGGTTAAAAAAATCCTACCCGACTGCACCTGCAGTTTGCAACATCGACACAGAAAAAGGAAATGAGAAATGACAGCACAGACAGCGGAAGGGTCACTCTGCTGACATTATCAGTGAATTCTTGGCTCTGTCTCAATTATAAAGAACTCACTCTAGGACCGGGGATGTAGCTCAGTGGTTTCACCGCCTGCTGTGCAAGTGCAAAGACCGGAGTTCGATCCCCGGTACCGAAAACAAAACAAACAAACAAACAAAAAAGAACTCACCCTGAACCATCACTACACCTAGAGTGCCTCACTTATAATTTCCAGGCTGTCCAACTCAAAGCTTCTGTTGGACACAGAGATTGCCAGAGAAAGAATGGAACAGGCCAGGGGAAGACAACCAGTAGCTCTCAGGAAAGATGCTGAGAATTCCCGCCTGGCACACATGCTGCTAAGCCAGCCCAGGGCTGATGGAAGAGAAGATTCCAAGTTCCAAGAAATGCAAAGCAAAAGCTGTGTACCACTGAGAAAAGTGCACTGCAATGGAAAGAAACCAAGTTCTCCGCATCAAGCCAGTAATATTTACAGCTTGTGGGCAGTGCCAAAATACTTCGGCAATGTCAATGTCTTAAACACAGTGTGAATCACCAGGCCGAATGAGGCAACTCCACTTCCTCACTCTCTCTTAGAAAGAACCAAGCACTGCAACTCATGGTCAGCGCTGTGTCTCTGCTTCTCCCCACCAAAAATGATGTTTTGCCACCTAACGTTTCGAAGCCAACATTTCTGAGATGTTTCTAGACGACCTGTGAGGAGTTAATAGTAGCCATAGGAATGAATCACAAGGGATCACTCCAGGATCAATTTCACTCATTTCCACTGAGGCCTTGGCATCTTTAACTCATTCAGACCCCACCTCATTTGCCCCGAGTCGGCAAACTCGACCCTTGCTCCTGAGCAGGAATGTGAAGGACCACTGGGTCCAGGTGTAAAGCCACAGCGCATGGCCCCGCACCCGGGACAGTACCTGCTCGGGCTTCAGCCCCGGCGGGACCCAGGCGTACTCCTCCAGGGCGCAGCCCGAGTCGTCGTCTGAGGTCGAGTTCCTCTGGAAGTCAAACATGAGCTTGCTGATGGTTTTCTCCATCTCCAGAGGCATCACGGTCACCATGTGCTCCTCCTGGCGACACTTGCAGTGCAGGCAGATCTTCCTGCGGGCAGCAGAGGTGGTGGTGAGAAGGAAGGAAAAAGAAACCGTTTTTCCCCGCGGCAGTTTCTCCCCTGTATTCCAAACCATAGACACATTCCTTGGCAATGGGCTCTGGCAAAGACATCTCCAGCTCTGACCCCAAGCACATCTTTCTCTGCAGAAGGTGTGGCACACGTGTGTAGAGTGAAAACGGGGTGAAAGGTCAGGGGCCTGCTAAGGATAGATGCACACAGGCCCCAACCTTTTCTTCCAAATCAATATTCCAAGGGGAATGAAATGTAATTACTTTACTGCACAGAACACTGGGTGTGGACCACAATTCCCTGCACTGTGATGCCAATGACATATGCGTAACACGCACGCTGACCAGGAAACCACCAGATTTAACGAACATTCACAATACCTTGTTTTCATAAAAGGTCTCTAAGGCATGGAAAATGGTTTTTTATAGAGCTGCAGGTGAAATTTTCCACAAGAAGAGAAAATATATCCCCCCCACCAAACAAATCTGGCCCTAGGATCTCATGGAAAAGACATTTTCACCTTCACTAAAAGTCCCTGGTTTGAAATTCTAATAAGAAACCCAACTTCTCCCTATGTTCTTAGTTTTTGAAATACACATGAAGATCATGCATCTAAATTATTTCAAAAGGTAGCAGCCAAAGATAAAATTCTCTTCCCAAACTGAACATTTCTCTTTTAAGGCTACCATCTGTTCCCTTATCTGTGGCTACAGAAATGATGAAGCAATAAAAACGTTGATGTCAGCAACCCCAAACCGTTTCTAGCTTCCATCGATAAAACAGAAAGATCAGAATGGAGAAGGTTTTAGGAAAATCTGCTGTTGCCTGTGCACTCTGGCCTGTACTACTGGTTTCAGTGGCACCTTAGAAGGCGTCCCAGGGTTCTAACCTCCACGTGTGCACGAAGCTTTTGACAACGGCTTTGTTAAGGCACAGTTCACACACCATCAAATCTACCCTTTTACTTATTTTTGTAGTAAAAATACCTTTTTTGTATACGTCTGCAGTACCTAATGATTACATGTACAGAACACATCTTAATTCATTTTTTCCTTTTTCTCTTCCCCATCCCACCTCTCCCCATCTCTTGGACCCCTTCCCATTAGAGAAAGTTCTATCTCCCTACTTCCTATCATCTATCTTTTATTTTGCTCTTTATTTATAATTTGGATTTTTCACCTAAGAGAACCCATGTGATCTCGAAGCTTGTGTGTCTGATTTATTTCACTTAACATTATGGCCTCAAGGTGGATCTTTTTTCCTACAAATGACCACGCTTACCCTTCTTTATGGCAGAACAGCACTCCAACGTTTATAAAGACCACGTTTTCTTTATCCATTCATCTGTGGATGGACATATAGGCCTGTTCCAAGATTTAGCTAGTATGAATCATGCTGCTACAAACATGGGTGTGCATGCATCACTGTAATATGATGTTTTTAACTCTTGAGAAGGTACCTAGAGGGGGAATGGCTGGGTTGAATGCAATTTCTTTCAGTTTTTTGAGGAATCTCCATACTGATTTCCATAGTAGTTGTACTAGTTTATGTTCCTACTCACAACGCAAAAGGGCTCCTTTTTCTCCAGAGCCTCGCTACCATGTGTTATTATTTCATTTTTTTTTTTTTTTTTTGGTACTGGGGATCGAACTTGGGTCCTTGCGCTTGTGCAGCAGGCAGCGAAACCACTGAGCTAAATTCCCAGCCCCATTATTTCATTTCTTAATGACAGCCATTCTTTCTGGGGTAAGATGGAATTTTAATGTTGCTTTAATTTGCATTTCTCTAATGGCTAGTGAGTGATGCTGAGCATTAATCTACTTATTGGCCACTTGTACTTTGTATTTTGAGAAGTGTCTATTTCAGCTGTCCATTTTGGGGGGGTAGGTTTTTTTTATTTTGGGAAGCCTAATTTTTTTGAGTTCTTCATATACTCAAGATATCAGTCCTCTGTCTGAGGAACAGCTGACAAAACTTTTTCCCATTCTGTGGGTTGTCTCTTCACTCTGTTGGTTGTTTCTTTTGCTGTGCAGAAGCTTTTTAATTTGCTATGATCCCATCTGTTGGTTCTTGGTGCTATTTCCTGCGCAACTGGGGTTCTGTGTAGAAAGTCCTTGCCTACACCTATGATGTCAAGAGTTTTACTTATTTTATCTTCCAGCAGGGTAAATGTGTCTGTTTTAACATTTAGATCTTTGATCGATTTTGATTTTAGCTTAGTACAAGGTAGAGACGTGGGTCTAGATTCAGTCTTCTGCAAGTGCCCAGTTTCCCAGCACCATTTACTAAAGAGGCTGTCTTTACTCCAGGGTGTGTTTTGGGTCCCTTTTTCAAAGTTCAATTAGCTGAATGTGCTTGGGGTTGTTTTTGCACCCTTCATCTTGTTCCACTGATTCACTTGTCTCTTTTTGTGCCAGTGCTATGCTGTTTTTATCACAGTAGCTTTGTGGCATAACTTCAGGTCTGGGATTGTGATGCTTCCAGCTTTGCTCTTGTTACCCAGGATTGCTTTTGCTATTCTGGGTCTCTTCTGGTTCCATATGAAGTTTAGGGTTGTTTTCTCCATCTTTGTGAAGAATGCTGCTGGTATTCTGAAAATCTATCCTTTTAAAGTATACGATTCAATGGCCCTTAATGTAGTCAGAGTTGCACAGTCATTACCAGCATATAATTTTAGATACTGCAACCCCAAAGCTCATGAGCATTAGCAGTAACTTCTCTTATCCCCTACTCCAAGGCCCTGGTAACCATTAAGTTATTTTCTGCCTCTATTGGTTTGCCTATTCTGGACATTTCATATAATAAAACCAAACAGTATATAGTCTTTTGACACTAGCTTCCTTCAGTAAAATGATGTTGTGGTTAACCCATGCTGTAGCATTTATCAATCCCTCATTTTCTTTTATCATTGAGTAATACTCCACTGTGCAGATCCCATTTCCCATTCACCAGTTGGTGGATGACAAGGACTCTTTCCTCTTCTGTCAATAGTGCTGCTCTGGATATTCAGGTACAAGTTTTGTTCTTATTACTGTTGTTGTGTGTGCATGTGTGTGCATGTATGGCCATATATTTTCATTTTTCATGAGTACATATCTAGGAATGGAACTGCTGGGTCATATGGCTACTTTATGTTTAACTTTATGAGGGACTGTCCAACTGTATTCCAAAATGTCTTCATCACTATACGACCCCTCATCAATGAATGCGGGTTCTATGTGCCACACGTTACTGTCTCTCTGTGGTAGCCACCCCAGTGGGTAGGAAGTGGTATTTAGTTGTGGTTTTGACTTGCAATTCTTTAATGACTATTGAAGTTGAGCACATTTTAATGAACTTATTATATATCTTCTTTGGAAAAATGGCTAGTCAAACCCGTAGTCTATTTTTTGCATTAAGATATTTGTGATTTTATTGCTGAGTTATGAGTAGTCTTCTTACTTTCTGGATGATGTTACACAAAGCACAAAAGTTTTTAAGATTTTGATGAAATTCATTTTATTTTTTTCTCTGTTGTTTGCACTTCTGCTATCATATTTAAGAAACCATGTCCTAACTCATGGTCATAAAGATGTACTCTTAGAGTTTGATGCTTTGAGCTGTTACATTTAGGTCAATGATCCATTTGGAGTTAATCTTTGCATATCTTATGAGGCAGAAGTTAACTTCATTCTCACATGGCTGTGCAGTTGTCTTGGTGCCATTTGTCAAAAACATATCTTTCCCCCATGGTTGATCTATCTCAAAACCTTTGGTCAAAATCAAGTGTAAGAGGGCCAGGGATTTAGCTCAGTGATTCCACCGCCTGCCTTGCAAGCGCAAGGACCTGAGTTCGATCCCCGGCACACACACACACACACACACACACACACAAATCAAGTGTAAGAATTTATTTCTGGACTCTCAAGTGTCTTCCACAGATCTGTATGTCAGTTGCCCACTGTCTTGAGTATGGTAGTTTTGTAGTAAGTTTTGAATCATGACATGCGAGTCCTGAAACGCTATTCTCCTTAATGGAAACTGGAAAACTCTTCTGGTTCTTGCAGGCCCCTTGCATTTGCACTCCTAAACACTGAATTTTGGGGTTAGCTTGGCAATTTCTACAGAAATGCCAGCTGGGATTTCAACGGGGACCACACTGAATCTGCAGATTAACTTGGGGACTACCGGCATCGCACCACTGTTAAGTCTTCCAGTCCCTGCACGCGGGGTGTCTTCCTACTCATGTCTGTCTACTTTAAGTTCTTTCCATAATATTTTGTGGATTTGAGGCACAAGGCTTGCATTTCTTTTATAGGTCGATTCTTATATATTTTACTCTTTTTGATGCTATTGCAATTGGAATTTTCCCCTTAATTTCATTTTCAAGTAGACAGTATAACAGAACCAGATAAGAGTTTTTACACTGATATTGTATCATACAACCCTGCTGAACTCACTTATTAGTTGTATGTGCATGTGTTCTAAGATCATGTCATAGGTGGAGAGAGGCAGTTTCATTCCTTCCTTTGTAACTTCATGTCGTTCATTTCTTTGTCTTGTCTTATTGCCCTGGCCTGAACCTGTAGTACAATATTGAATAGAAGTGGAAAGAGTGGACATGTCTTGTGCCAGATGTGGGCTTTTTATGTAGATGCCTTTTGGGTTTTGTCAAATGCTATTCCTGCGTCTGTTAAGATGGTCAGTTGTTTTTCGTCCTTATTCTATGAATGTGCTATGTCTAAAATTTGACACAAAAATGTACATCGAAGAAAGTAAATCATTTTAGCCCAGCCAAGTTAGGTTTGTTGGATCTTCCCACTTCCCAATTTTTTATCACACCGAAGACCCAGAGACAGAACGCACATGCCTTGGATCTAGTTAACATCTCCAAGCTCAAAAGAGTTCCATCCAAACCCTGGAGGTTGCATTTGAAAATAGTCAGAGCTCATTTTAACAGTAACTCTTTAGTCAGCTGCTGAAAAGAGGTCAGAGTTGT